AAAATTAATTTACTTTCTAAAAATACGCTCATAGTTTTTATCGTACATTTTATTAAGGCAAAAAAAAACGATGCCGGAGGTCGACCAGTTTCTATGGCTTGTGTGACGCTTGTGAAATACACATGCAAATCGTATTTGAATGCGGCATGAAAATGTTTGCCACACAATAAAATTGCAGCATAGTTTTTCTACACAGGGGTTAGACCTATTTTCACCTTGACGCTGCCAAACAAAAGGCGAACAGGCAGCCGCCAAATGAACACACATTCACACAATCCGACGGCTGTTTGCCATTTTGTATTTTGCGAAAGGTGTGCGAATTCACGCCATCCGTTTGCCATTTAAAGGCAACACGCTTCGGTTTTCTATTTTATTTCATTTCAGCATATTTCAAGCTGCAGAAAAACATAGGGCAGAGAATCTAAAAAAAAGTCTACAAAGCGATGGAAAAAACTTTAACTGACGTTAAAATATTTACAAATGGCTTCATTCAACTTTATCATTTAGATAGAATGTAAGTTTCTTGATGTATTGTCATCGCATTAACTGGCGTCAAGCCTTGACTTAGCCGCGAAAGTCGCTAAACAAAGTGTCGATAAGCTATTTATAAAGTTATCGATAATTTGTGATAAGTTAAGATCCAACAGCATTACCACACACATTCGTCTTCTGTAATTCTAATGTTTAACAATACTGGAACTAAATTAAGCTGGCAGTTTTTATAGAATTAATGCAGATCAGCTCATATGAATAAATTAGTCGTATGCTTAATTATTTACAGCCTATGACGGCGTTATAATACATTTATGTTAATTTGTTTCATGCGTAATTCAATATTCATCCAACTATTTACACTATTTTAAGCGAGTGCCCAATGAGCATTGTTCCTCACCAGTTACAGGTTAAATTAAAAACGTATTTCCCATTATTTTCTTTTCAATTATATGTGGTACATATACAAATACAAATGTAAGCCACGCCACCCGGGGGCAGACTGTTTAACACACCGCAGGCCACGCAAGTTGCAAACGCCGCCCTCATTATAATTCGCTTGCATACTTTTCAGCTGCGACCAGTGTTGAGAAATGCATTTGTTGCTCGCGAGTCGTTTGCCATTATTATTCGATTTCTGTTTTAACACGCTGCGGGTGTCGCAGCTCGCTTCCGTAATTCATTTACTGTTTCATTTGAGACTAAAAAAGTACAAGTCCAACAAGCAGCAAAAACTACGCATGGTTGTTTAGTGAATATATGTACATTCGCATTATTTATTCATGACAGAGCATATGCAGTTTTAAATAGCATTTTCAGTGGCATGCCGCACTTGATTTTGCATTCAGTGCTTGATATCCCTTTGGGGAGACAAGCTGCTCCTAAACAATGGGCCTGCCAGCCGTTCGAAGCGGACCTTTCAGCCAGACTGCCAACCAACCAACCATCTATCCATCTGGCTGCCTGGTGTCAGGCCATTTGATATTTGCGCTCGTCGAGCACTGAGGGAAATCTGAAATCTCACCGTAGGATTTGTTTCACGCCACAGCGGATTGCCTTAACATCAAATATGCACATGTGTGTGTGTGTGCGTGAGTGTGTGTGTGTGTGTGCATGTGGTGTGAAAATGAGCAAATTTTGTGCGTGGCTGAGTTAAGTTGGCAACTATTGCAGGATATTTAACCATAGGTTGTACTTAATGTGGCTTAAATGGCTTTGAAGTCAGCTTTAATTAACTGCTTAATGTACGCTGAAAGCAGAAAATTATACCGGTCGATGATATTTATTATGAAATACTGTTGTGAGTGTTATGAAGCCTACGATCTTGGAAACGGGTAACTTTTTATTGTAATTTACTGCTGCAGAACTAATTTTATTTCACTTAAGTTTAATAGTTGATAGGGCAAATTTTTATTGTAATCTTCTAAGTCAACTGCTGCAGAAATATTGATAGATCGCTTTATTTTTATTTCAGTTAATTTTCCTTGTCAAAAGGTCAACATTTTATTGTTAATTCATTTAGTCAACTGCTACAGGATTATCGATAGTTCGATGAAATAATTGCTCAGTTAAGTTTCATAGTCAAAATGTGAAACTTAAGTTCTGGTTTTGGCGACCTTTCCATATTTTAAATATTTTGTTGGCTGGCTCGAAGTCCGGACCTTTTTATTGTAACATAACCAACTGCTGCAAAACTATCGATAGGTCGATTTAATTTTATTTCAGTTAAGTTTCAAAGCCAATAGGGAACCTTTTTATTGTTATTTATTTACTCAACTGCTGCTATACTATCGATAGATCGATTTAATTTAATTTTAATTAGGTGTCATAATAAAACGACAACTTTTTACTGTAATTTCCCTACTCAGCTGCTGCAGATCTATCGATAGATCGATATAATTTTATTTCAGTTAAGTTTCATGGCCAATAGGGCTGAACTATCGATAGATCAATTTAATTTTTTGTCATCGATCATTTTAATCTGCAGAGTAAATATTAAAAATATTTAATGATTATATTTAAAGCAGTTAATAGTATCGTTATTATTTTGCTATCGATGATTTTGCTGCACTTAAATTTGTGTAAAATTTTCATTCATTGAATTTATAAGTTTTCACAATTCTTTTTGCTTCTTCTGCATTTCCACACATAAATCATTGTGGCGGTAAAACCCAATTATGTATGTTGATTATTGTTTCATAATATGGGCTGCAGAATTTCGCTACGTCAGCTTCCTCTCTCCCGTAACAAATTTTTTAATTATTAACCCGTCTGGTTTTGCGGCAAATTTACTCCATGCATAAGTGGTAAATTAAGAAATCATGGAATAAAAGGCGAAACAAATTAAATTGCGTGTCGAATGACTGCAAAAAAACCACAAGAAATAAGAGAATATTGCAGGCTCTCATTGCAAATTAATTTGTATCAAGCAAAAGTTTATAGTTTTATTGTATTTATATATTTTATTTCTTTGTGGATTAAATATTTAAAAATTTCCCAATTAAATGAGCGGCTTTGAATTCCTGCGTATGCTTTACATTAAATCAGAGCACAAAAACCAGCGAAAAAACCTACAAAAATTCAACATCGAAAGTTTTCTTGTTCTTGTGCGGCAAGCGCAACGCGGCAGCTTTTGACAGGTTGCAACAAACATGCGGACAGAATCGAAGACAAACTTTAACCCGACTGCATATACGCTTTTTAACTTTGAGCCTCCCCTTAACCCGCTTCTATAGCATGCATTTCTATAAAATGCAAGAATTGCACAAAATTTCAATAAACTGGCAACGACGACACATTGTATGAGAGTGGGAGAGAGAGGGGGACGAGAGGGATTGTGGCTGGGACTTACTGTTTGGTGGGACTTTAACAGAGTGCCAAGTCAGTGAAAATATAAAACTTATTGCTAGCTGCATTTTCATCTTGACAGGCATTTTTACAAATTTCCTCATTTGCTGACAACAACAACAAGTCTTCAAGATTTGAGTTCATCCGTTTTATGTAAGCTCTAAACAAAAGCATCTCCCGATTTTCTGCTGAATTTTAACTCCATATATATATAAGTGTTTAAATGCGATTATAGTTGATTTCGCATCTGTGATTTGATTATAATTATAGTTACTGCCCCTTTTTAATTTGTTATCCAACACTCTCAAAATGTACGGGGTAAATTAAAATAAAACTACAAATTACCATAATCCCTCAACTAAGCTTCTAATCGCAATTTGGGCTAAAATTAAAATCCAATATTTCTCCTGATTTAATTTGGTAGATCATTTTATGTATAGTTTCTTTCCTCTTTTTAATTTGGCATCTAAATTTCTTTAGGGAATGCAATTTAAAATAGGTAATAAAATTTTAAATGGCTAGAACTTGTCAAATAATCGCAATTGTGGCTGATATTGATCGAACATACTTAATTTTAAAACCAAAACGCCTAGACACTTTTTAAGAAGACCTTTTTAGTTGTTCTTTATACCACCTTTTTTATTTGGCATCCAAATATCTAGGGTATAACATTTAAAAAATTCAAATGGCCATAACTCCCCAATTAAGTGTCCAATCATAAGTTGGCCTGAAATTTGTGATAAAAAAAAAACTAAAATTTGTTTAATGGTCATCGTCGGAATTGGGGCTGAAATTCGTGATCATATTTTATTTACAATTAAATTGCCTACAAATTAATATTTATTTGATTTTAACTTTAAATTAGTTAATATTCTTTACATTATATAGTATCCCCTTTTAATTTGGCCCTTTATTTTCTAAAAATGCCCTTTAATTCCTTAGAGTGGAAAACCATTTTGAGGTCTAGTTCTTCTGCTTCATCTTGTCATTTCACATCCTTTCAAACTCGATGTGTTTCGGCCTGTTGGCAAAGTAAACAGAAATGTTTCTCGGCCACACGTCTTAAAGTACGCCACGTATTTCTCAGGCTGCAAACACAGCAAACATTTATAACACCGCCACGGTCTTAGATAAATGACTGTGTTAAGCGTCGTAAGTGTTGTTTCTCATTTGTCAGCGCTTGCTTTCCATTTTTACCCTGTTCCCATTGAACAAATGTAAAAAAATTGCCATGCAGAGACACGCATCTGTTCTACGAAAGCTACTCACATTTAATAATAAATAATTAATTGATGATAAACATTCTTTTAAGACTTAAGGGATCCGTTTTTGGGGTACAGGGTATCTTGTGTGCTCTAGCACACTCTGTTTTCTTTCTGTTGTTGTTTCTTTTCTTTTTTCTCTACTAGTACTTTTTTAGCCCAACCAAATCCGCTTGCCCCACTGGATTTAGTTGTGAGTTTATCACTTTTTTAAATCTTTGAATGAAATATTGCAAGAACTTGCAAAAAACAATTTATACACTTGTATCTTATGCCCCCGGTCATCTTATGACACGGTCCTGTCTTACTAGCCAACTCGTCTGTGCAGATCTAACCTTCCTTTGACTATTCACTTATTTAAGAGTCAAGATGTTTTGTTGCTTTGATTGTGACAATCATAGCACGTCTTGCTTTTCGGCTCAGTTGTTAAATGATTGTTATTCAGTTCTCATATATTTTGTGAACGTTACAGGTATTACAAGTATATTCCAAAATGTCGAAGGCACAGGTTTGTAAAAATAAAATAAACCCATAAAATATTTAACTAATTGTTCCTTTTCTTATGGCAAGCAGCCGACTGCAGCGGTGAGTTCTAGTCTATGTTTTTAGATATAATTAAAGTATTCTTATTCTTTGTTCATTTTGTTATAAATCGTGTAATACCTTTGCGATATTTAGCATAGTAAGCCGCCGCCCAAAATCAAGTTTCCCATTCACGACACCCATTTAAAGAAGTCACTGTCAAATTTGAAGACTGCTTGCGTTTTGGCATTGATAGCCCCACTTTGTTACTATATGTTGCATAATTTGCCGCGAAAAATGACATATAAGAACTTTTATTCGAACTATGATCCGTTGGACGCTTTTGATCGCATGCAAAGCGGTGGCTATTTGACCTCATGCCCCAAAGAGTCTAAATCGGATAAAAAGGATGACAAGAAGGATGACAAGAAGAAGAAATAAGTGTTAATTTCTTAACTATGTGAGGAACAAGTTAAAAACATTTAAACGGGGCGGAAAATTTGAAACTTACCAAACACAATGCATCAATGGAAAGGAAATTCACAACGCAAATGAATTCTAAGAAATTGTAAACTCAACAAATCTTTACATTAAGTTCTTACACACACACACGTACACAGATCATATAAATGGAGCATTGCAAATACTTGACGCCGTGTCTTAAGTTATGTGTAGCACATCCTTTGCTGCCCCGTAAATCGCTCCGGACAGCTGCCGCTCACGGCCGTGTCTACTGTCTGCTATTGATGGCCAATAAATACTAAGGCCACCGACTAGAGGGGCAGAGGTCAAGGGGTTTTTTCTAGTTTAGAAAGCTTGCAACCGCTATGCAAGTGGCAGTCGTCCTGCTGTCGTCCTGCCGTCGTCCTGCTGCCTCCTTGTCAGGCATCTGACACTTGTCCTTTGACTGCTTGCTATGTTGACCGGTTGCTTGGTCTGCCTGTTTGTGCGGAAAAATGATTATAACATTCTTATGCATTTAATAAGTGTGTAAATGCTGCAAAATGTATCTACGCATGTGGGGAAAGCATAAAACTGCTGTAATATACGTTTTTATCTAGTCCTTTACATAAATACAACAAGTTAAAGCTCAAGTTTTGTGGAAGAACTTAATACCATTGCAAATAGTAAATATTTTTGTTGAAGGAATTTTAAGAAATAGTTTCGAGTCATCTTGGACGCCATAAAATACTAAGGTCGGTTCTGATCAACAATCCTAGATTCTATATATATTCCGTTGACAATTTTTCTGTGGCAAGCACTTTTATATGTTCTTCATCTTTCGAGTTTTGTTCTAGGAAAAAAAATACAATTGGCCTGCATTTTATGGCTTTCGGGACTTCGTTTCCATTCACACATTTCTTGGAAGCTTTTATGCCAGCTTGTTTGATTGGCATTTTCTAGCCCAATTTAATGCTTCTGTAACATTTTTTGCGCATTCGTATCGAATACCCAGGTCTTAAAGAAGAATTGGTGTGAAAGGTATTCTAAAACTGTGAATATTTTTGCTGCACAAAGTAAATGACAGCTGGTATATCTCTATATATATAACTGTTTGTCCTGACTGACTGACTGACTGACTGACTGACTGACTGATTGGTGATCAACGCACAGCCCAAACCGTAAGAGCTAGAAAGCTGAAATTTTCACTGTAGCTACCTTATGTGATGTAGGTGCACGTTAAGACGGGGTTTCGGGAAATTCCACCCGCAAGTGTGGAATAATCGCGAAAAACGTTTGTATGTAACTTTTTTGTTTACCATCCGATTGGCCTCAAACTTATTTTCAAAGATCTTTGTTCAAATTCATTTGAGGGGTGTTTCACACTTTTCGAAAAATCCGTTCCTCCTTGGTGGAAATGAAGGTCAAAGATTTGGTGGGTGACGTTTCGCTCTCAAATTCGTTTCCAGAGATCTATTAGAAAAATCATTTGAGATGTGTTTCCCACTTTTCGCAGAATTCAAACTTCTTCGGAGGGAATGCGATTTAAAGATTTTTTGGGCGAAGTTTTTGGTTGTGTCCGATTTGCTTCAAACTTATTTTCAAAGCTCTAAATAAGAATGTAATGAATACGTGTTTCAGCGATTTGGGAAATTCCACTCGCAACAGTGGTAAATTGGCGGAAAACGTTTGTATGAAAGTTATGTGTTTACCGTCCGATCAGTTTCAAAATCATTTCAAATTTGTTTGAGAACATTGATTTTATAACATACGTGCCCAGGCAAGGCCGGGTTATACCCGCTAGTAATATATATGTGATTATAATCATATTTACTTATGATCTAACTTTAATTATTTATAGATCTTATCTAGCTGGATTATACAACACTGACATATTGAAAACGACAGTGTTTGAACTGTAATCTATCTATATACATATATATATATATATATATCTATACAAGAACTGAAGACAGCTGATTTATTTAAATTTTATTTAAATGTGAATCATTCATAATCCAACTTCTATAAAAGCTATGTTCTACTTTAGAACTGATTAAATCAGCATTTCTCTATTTGCTAGCTTTACTTTCCCATATTTAAGTGCTTATAGCGCATCTACCAAACGCTTACTTTCGGTTTCCTTTATTTTTTCTTACAGTTTTTGCCTGACACGCTTCACTCAAGCAAGGTCTCAACTATTTCCCAGTTTAGGTTCTGCGCCTTCTCAGTTCGGGGTTTGTTATTAAATTTCCGTTAAGCCCGAACCCAATTTGTTCAGCTCGTTACCTCTGGCTTAGAATTTGCATCTGGCAATTAGATTACCAGTTAAATGCTTGACTTTTTCGGCAATGCTGACCATTCAACTTTAACCGGACTAACAGATTTTTAAAATTAAAATACATGCGTTCTTTTACTTTTGGCCAACTCTTAGCTGTTAGTCGTGCATTGAACCTAGCTCAAATCGAGTAGAGAGGGGCAGGAGGCAAGTTCAATATGTTGCATGCCACATGGCATTGAAGGCGATTAGAGGCACGGCAACGCCTTATATAAAAGCTCTGACAAATCGCATTGCATACTTGGGGGCGTTTTCTTAGCTCTCATTCCGCCAGCTGCTTGGACAAACAACTTTTTCGCCTAGCCTAGCCAAACAAATCGAATCAAATTTAAGTGGAATATTGAACTTTTAAGGGTTTCTAGATACGCAAATCTTTGAGTTTATGCGAGCTTGGGTTAATATTTGAATAGTTTTCTCATAAAGATGGCGTTTACACAGAACTTTACGCTGTTCAATTTACGATAACGCATGCCAAACCCAATTGTACATTGTGCCCAGAGAAAATGCGCTGTGCGGCATAAAGATAATAAACAGTATATAAAACTATTATATATAATACGAAATGTATAATAAAACATGATTTATTATATTTTTGTCTGTCGGCTTTCTCGTCTCCTTTGTCTCAGAGTCTAGGAGCTGGAGAAATTCAAATTTTGCATGTAGCCTATGTTTTTATATCTTTATGTGTACAAAAAAAAATATATTTTTGGGAGGTCACTTCTTAAGGCGCTTTATATAAAAGTCCCACTTATCGTACATATTACTCATATTATTATATGTGCGATTAAATGTCTAATTTGAGTTTTAAATTTAGGATAAATCGGACCTATATATAAATATAGTATAAGCACATTAAAATGTGTTTGATCGTAAAAGAAATTTGTATATGATATAGTTCAGTCAAGATAGAAATAGAGAGTCTCATGAATACAATCACGACAATTAGCCTTAAATATAATAAAGTATAAAGTAATAAATATAACAACAAGTAAGCCATTCTTATTAGTTCTGCTTTTTTAGGCCACAAACTTCCTTTTATTTCCATCGCATTACTTGCCTTGACTATGTTTTATTGATGATATTTCCACCTATTTGCTGCAGGCTGTAAATTTAATAAATATAAATGAGCATTGCTTGCTTTTCGGCAGCCACTGTGTAAATATGCAATGCACACACTTCTATTTGGTGTCGCTGAACTCTGCCGAAGAGCGCTTTGGCTACACACGAAGGCAGCACTTGAAACTGAGCCATCATTATTATCTATTTGTTAAGTGCACAAGTGTTGGGCACTTCGACCACGCCCTCATCTCAAAACTGATTTGTTAATTGTAAGTTATTGATACGCCACGTGCCAGCGTGGGCGGTTCGAACTTCTGACACGCCCACCTACGTGTTACACCATTTCGCCGTAATTATAAATTTCCAACAGCTATAAAGTTTTGTATGCGCGTGGGCAGTTTCTTAAATTTTAATTGAATTTTAAATTGTTTGCCAGGCTATTTACATGGACCTTGGCAGAAGAAGACGCTTAGGCTCGGGGCGGCATATTTAACTTTTGAGTAGATGTCTATGAATTGAAATGTTGGCTCAAATTTTTGGATAGACAAGCTGCCGCCTAATTTGTATTTATTATTATTATTCAATCCTTGTTCTTATATCTTAAAGTTGTCAAGTGATTAACTTAAATATGATAATTAAATTTGCATGATGCTGCTCGAGTTGAATTGCAACTGTTGTAATTGTAACTGAAATGAATATTTAACTAACTTGTTATTTGTTTTTGTCATTTTACCCTAACGCCTTGAGTTAGCTATATATATATATATATATCTAATGAAATCTGCCCATACAGCTCCACATCTCAAATAATTTTTTACATAGAGACAAACAGTTTTATAAATAATTAGTTTTGAATTGGCATTTTACATAACTAGAAATATTTTTTCTAATAAATTTTATTCAGTTTAAAGTTTTTATAAAAATGAATTTAAAACAAAATCGTAGTTTTATTATGCTTTAAGTTTATATATATCAACAAACGGATACACTTTTAAATTTACCTAACATTTTTTTCAAGAGCATAGCCTAAACAAATCTTGGCAAAAATAATATTTTAAAGGTCAACCAGGAAGGGATTATACAATTTTGTAGAAATTCAAGTGCACAAATAATATAAAAATAAAAAAAACGAAAAAGGAATGATGACTTCGGCACGCCGAAGATTTTATACCCTTGAAAACGTGTGCATTTCATGAGAATAGTGAAGATCGTGAATGATGAATTTGCCATAAAAACAAATTTCGACCTATTATTTTTAAAGTGCTATATAATATTTAGTGATATATAATATAAAATAATACCATTGAAAAGATTTGGCTCATGTGTAAGCAGCATAGGTTTGGTCAAAATATCTTATAAGCAAAAAAGGTCTTCAATGGCCGCTATATGATATACTGATCCGATCCCGAAGGTAACGTCATGGATACTGCCTGCAACAGAAAGACGGACCTATGCAAAGTTTCAAGTCAATAGCTTAAAAACTGAGGGAATAGTTCGCATGGAAAGTGACAGACGGATAGGTGGACAGATGGGTAGATGGATAGACAGACAGAAGTCAGACATGGCAATATTATCTTGGCTGTTGATGCTGATCTAAAATATATATAATTTCGTTAGCATAAGTTGTCTTTTTTTATGCTACACACTTCATGACAATATTACAATACCTTCTACAAGGGTATAAAAATGATGGTGCCACATGCGGCATCCATGGCTCTCGTTATTTTTATTCCAATTTCCAGTCAGATTTCTAGACAGATTGGTCTGTTGCTGGGCTTCTCACGCCATGGTCGAATGTCACCATGAAATAATACACTCTCTGGCCGATTCAGTTCTTCGACCATAAAGCTATGAATTTAATTTTGCATGCAATGCCCAAACAGAAATTGTTTTTCAGTATCGCTGACACGCATTGAATTCCGTTCGCTGTGCCAG